GGTGTGGCTGACTCTTAACTTTTATAAAGAATATCTCTTTGGATTTGAGACTTTAGTCTTTGCAACTTTACAGATCTTCTTTATGCACCAAGAGCTTGTAACACTCCAAAGAGAAAGGAAAAAATGAAATTGCATCATATGACCCCTTTAAGAGCAAGCATGCCCTCGACTGCAGTCCTTGACTTGGTTCAATGATAAGCGTATCATTGTTATAAATAGTATCTGTTATAAAATATAAACCATGGCTCACATGTGGTGTGTTTTTGAACGCAGGAACGGAGAATCTCTTCACATGATAAGCCTGTCTGTCTGCCTTCAGATATGGACTTATGGAGATAAAACAAACAGTATATTGACTTCTAAAGACACTTTTTAATTTTCAATGATTAATCTGCCACAATAAATGTCTATGAATTATATTCATACCGGAGCTTTTATCAGAAAACACCCATATATGCGAACAAGATTTATTTTGGTTATTTGATTAAACAGTATATCATGCAGGGCTGCACGATTTGGGGGAAAAAAAATAATTGTGTAATTTTCTGATAAAATTGTGATTGCAATATAAACGCAAATTTTTAAAATAAAAAAAGCTTCAGGTTTGCCGTGCTTGTTTGTAGGGCTGCACAATACGACAATCGATCAATAAATCAATAAATAAATCAATAAATCAATAAATGATGTTGTTTGTTGTTATTATTTTATTGTCATATTGATATATAATCAACATTTTTGGACAAATTTTTATTAGTATCCTTATTATCATTTTCCTTATTGTAATTGTTAGTATCCTTATTATTATTATTCATTAATTTTATTATGATTATTATTTTTATCAAATAAAAATGTTAAATAAAATGAGAAATTTTGCTATCGTAATGATTTACTTTAAAATAAAACAATTACCATTTAAGAAAAATATAATAATAATAATAATTATTATTATTATTACTATTATTGTCATTATTATTATTATTATTATTATTATTGTAAATGTCTATTAATTGTGCATCACTCATTTTAATTTCAATTATATTTTTTATTTTTGGTAATTTGGTAATTTTTTCTAATCGAGGACGTTCCCAAATGTCTGTAAAGTAAGGTTTTGTCAAATGTAGCTCTATTTGCACTCATCTGCAGCTCAGTAAACACTCACACACCTCAGCATCTGTCGCCTGCTCAAACACGGATGCATGCATTCATTCACGGTCGGTTTTTCCTTCTAATATGACTATATCTGCATCTACATGCCTATAGTAGCTTTTGCATGGGCTGCTAGACACTCTTGAGATGCCAAAAAATATGTTTTTTTTTTTTTTGCAAAAAAATATTTAAAATATATTCTAAATATTTGTTGTAAACCATGAAGTTCAATTAAATATATATTTGAAATTTAATATATATTTAGTTTTAACCTGCATATACCAAAATATATTTAAAAATGTATTTCAGGGGTAAGAAAATACATTTACAATATTTCAGTAGCCTACATTTAGGCTTTGTTCATGATTTATTTTTATTCAAATTATCTTTCTTTGATTAAAATATATGTGTAGGGCAAAATATATTTATAAATGCTTCAAATATATATACATATATGTTTATATATATAGGAAAAAGTGGTCAAAATATAGCAAATATATTTGGGATATTAGTTTAAATAGTAGTTTAAATGTTTAAATATATAAGAAAATATATATATTTGAGGTTTTAGGACAACTTTGATGAAAGGTTTTGATCCACTTCAAATGTTGACTACTATATATATATATATATATATATAGGCTATTAATAGAAAAAATGTATATATGTAAATATATCTTAAAATATTATAATAATTTTAGATAGAATTTAAATTTTTTAATAGATTGTTTTATATTAAATATATTGCATTGAATATATATATTTTAATATTTAAAAAAAAGACATATTCTGCAAATATATAAGGACCTTGAGACCTTAGTCACTGGTGTTTAGTGATGAGCTTCTGGCTCGAGGTCTGCATTTAAAGACCAGACCAGTTCTTCCACACTGACTCAATCAATCACTTCTTTCTGAACCTGGTCTTATACACAGACGCATTGTTGTGTTAGAATAGAAGAGGGTCCTGTCCAAACAGTCGCTATAAAATTAGAAGCACACGATTCCCTAGAATAGCATTATATGCTTAAACATTAAGATTCATACTCATGGAAATTACTAAAGTAGTCAAACCTGTTCATTAGAAGAGTGTGTCCCAATACTTTTGGCAATATAGTGCATATCAAATATTAATAAAGTTTAGTGCTGTCAAACGATTAATCGCGATTAACTGCATTCGAAATAAAAGTTTTTGTTTACATAATATTTGTGTGTATATTTATTATGTATATATAAATACACACACATACAGTATATATTTTGAAATTATTTACATGCATGTATTTATATGCATATAATTTATATTATATATAAACATATTTAATATATAAACATAACATATATTTCTTAAATATATACATGCATGGGTGTGTATTTATATATACATAAGCATCCTGTTCAGTGTGAATGCACTGGAAACGCTGCGTTACCTGCGGCTCGCTGGCACTGACTGCGGTTGGCGTACGTGAAGTGATCGTCGCAGCTCTGAGACGAACAAACACAGCCGTCGGCCGTCAGATTACAGCCAGAAAACACACACGCCGGGTTCACGGGACCCACAAACCTGTGTCTGTGTTCGTGACGGAGAGAACCTGAGAAACACAGAGAGTTACAGGTCAAACACAGGCTAGCCATGATTAATGCGGCATATAAATTGCGACTTACTCTAATGTAAACTTGGACACATTTCTTGAATTTAAATAAATTTAGGTTTATATAACTTTATGCTGAACATAAACACTGTGACATGATGGTTTATGAAAATATATATCATGTATTAACCTTTTAAAACACGTCCCAGAAGAGCTGCGCGCATGTCTGCTTTTGGGACGTGTTCCAATCCCGGCGCAATGAAACAAAAGGCAATAAAAAGATTATTGTGCTGATATTAATAAAATCTATATGTTGAATGTGTTAAGTAATGTTTATTAGACTTTCTTTCCTGTGATGGGGCTGTTCAGAGAGAAAATGCAAGAGTTTATGTTGATTTAAATGCTAAATGCTGTTTAGTTTGTAACCAGAATACTAATAATAATTAGAAAAAACTATTTCTACATAATGAGGGGCTTTTAATTATAAACAAGCTTGATATACACTGGGATAGTGGTCGACTGATATGGGTTTTTTGACAGCCGATGACGATGCCGATATCTTGGAAAGCAGGGTGGCCGATATAAAGCCGATATAATCGTATTTATTTTAATTAATATTTAAGAAATTTAAAATCATTTGAAAATGGATTAAAAAATAAATTTGTAAAATAAACATACTTATACTTTAGATGACAAAGTATTTTCCACAAATAAATAAATATTTAATAAAAATAGAATTAAAAAGTAAGTAAACTGTAACCAACAGGGCACTCAGTATTCTGGGAAGTTTGTGTGCATTGGGAATCATATTTTTTCAAATAAAGCCAAGGTAACACTCATTTTACATACAGCACAGTGAAAATGACATGAATATGTCAGTGGGCAAATGCATAAAGCGCAGCATAATTTGAAATCACAAATTTAATGTTTAAATTTATAGCGAAAGGGAACACCGAAGCACTTTTTTGTCTGTTTTCTCTAGTCATGTAGTACTGATTTAAAAAACAAATACATTTCTATTTAACATGGAATATGCTGCATGAAGTTTCTTTAAACATATTTTTGGGTTTCAAATAAAAATAAATAAATTAATTTAAAAAAGCATGTTTGTGAGCATATGATGTGTGATTTATTTATTTTTTTTAAAGTGAACTGTTCCTTTAAAGACCACATGAGAGTTTTGAGCCTTTTAGTCCATGTCCATTATATGCCAGTTAGACTGATATGTTAGATTCAGGAGTACACTAGCATAACTAATGCTTTCTGGTTTTCTGTTTTAGTAGGACATATGTTAGCCACTACCATTCTTCAAGAAATTGAAGATTTTATTCAGGAAGGATGAAGTAAATTGATCAAACGTGGCAGTAAAGACATTTGTAATGTTACAAAATATTTGCATTTCAAATAAATGCTGTTCTTTTGAACTTTCTATTCATCAAATAATCCTGAAAAATAAAAAGTATCACGGTTTCCACAAAAATATTTGTCTGCATAACTGTTTTTAACATTGATAATAATCAGAAATGTTTCTTGAGCAGAAAATCAGATTAGAATGATTTCTGAAGGATCATGTGATCATGTGAATATTTAACAATATTACTATTTTACTGTATTTTTATACAAACAAACAAACAATCTTTCAGGTCTTTAACTTGCAGTAAATAAAATATTTAATAAATAAACTATTTTTAGTTAACTAAGATATAGCGAAGGCAATAGTCACTTTTCATTGCTCTTGGTGTTTTAACTCTATGTAACAGTGAGTAAAGCAGAAACTGAAGCTCTCTGGTTTACAGGGCGATGCGGTGAAAGATCTCATGCAGCGTTTTTTGGGCGACCAGGCAGCTATGAAGAGACAGGTGCTCTCGGCCAGCTCAGTGGAGCAGAACTTCCTCGGTCTCAAGCGGCTGATAGTGAGTAGCACATCATATTTATTCCTAATTTTTGACTCATTTAAGCACAGGCAGACACGTGTTTGGTGTCTTTTTTGTGTTATGGCTGAGATATTTTAAGTTGGAGGTGAGCGGCATTTATGGCGAAGCTTCACTTTTTGTACTTGTTCACCATCTCCACGTCTTTTTGAGTTTCATGACTGTCCAAACTAACTTGCGGCAACTAGCATTGATTTGCCCCGAACTGGAAATTGGTGCCAAAATCAGAGCTAAAACCCTGTACTGTAATGTATTCCAGCCATTAGTTGGCAAAGTAGATTCTTTGTAGCTTCTAGTTTCTCTGAGACTAGTGCAGGACAGACAAGCAAAATATAGTATAGTCACTCACAATATAGTTATTTGAATTGAATCCTCTCAACAAAAACCCAATTTTTGGCTTTTCGATTATTGCAGAACATAAATTCTGTGACCAACAAAAGTTTATGATTCTTGCATGTTTTGTCCGATATGATCTTCACAAATGAACACAACTAATGAATTTTGCTAAATGCAACTGGCAGAAGTAAAAAGCTAAACACAGAACCAGAAATACTAAAGAGAAGCTGTTTCCAAAAAATATGTTATCGCTGCAGCACTCTATTGGGAAAATAGTCACATTCAAGCATTTAAGTGCTTTCGTTTTCTGTTAAATCTGATTATTTAAATTCTACACCACTCCTTCCAATCCAATCAATTTCAGTCTGATTGAACTCAGTCGGATCAACTGAGGTGTTTACATAAAGATTTTTCAGTTCGATTGAGCCACCAATCTGATAATAAATGGGTTATCTGGGTGCATGTAAACATGCTGATGTTGCTTGATTTTGTATCACTAGCAAAATCATCACACACATATAAAGTATATTAGTGGTCGACCGATATTGGTTTTTTGACAGCCGATGCCGATATCTTGGAAAGCAGGGTGGCCGATGGCCAATATAAAGCCGATATAATTTTTTTATTTTAATTTATATTTAAGAAATTTGAAATAATTTGAAAATGGATTAAAAAGTAAATGTGTTAAATTAACATACTTATACTTTAGATGACAAAGCATTTTTCACAAATAAATAAATATTTAATAAAAATCTAATTAAAAAGGAAGTAAACACTGTAACCAACAGGGCACTCAGTATTCTGGGAAGTTTGTGTGCATTGGGAATCATATTTTTTCAAATAAAGCCAAGGTAACACTCATTTTACATACAGCACACAGAGAAAATGACATGAATATGACAGCGGGCAAATGCATAAAGGGCAGCATAACTTGAAATTACGAATTTAATGTTTAAAGCATTCAATTTGCACGGACCGAAAGCCACGTAGAGAACACACGATCATGCAGGTCACACTTCACAAGATCTCACAACTGGATTCGACTAAGTTTGCGAAATTAAATGTTCATTAGTCATTCAAAGATTTGTTTAAATTATGTAAATGCGTATTTGCTGAATGCTGATGGCAAACGAGAAAGTATTATAATGTTTGCCTTTCTATTACTAATAATATAGAAGCAATCGTTATAATACTTTTTGTATACATTTTAATTCCTTTGTTTTTTGTTCGGATTATTAGACAGACTTCTATCCGTATTAGACAGAACTGTTAACGACGACGGCGAACAACAGGGAGAATGTGAGCACTGTGCGCTCAGGCGCTGCCGCTCTCAGCGCCGTCAAAATAAAAGTTTGCCTCTTCATATTTGAAAAATGCCAAATATCGGCCGATATATCGGCCTTGGCGATATATCGGTCGACCACTACCCTGGGACTCTTATTTTGAAATGTCTATTCTTTACTACTTCCAGCAGCTCATTAAAAAAAGAGTGGAGAAATATGGGAACCAAAATATCAACAATAATAATAATAAAAAAAGACTTTATGTATAATGAGGGACTTTTAATCATAAAGAAGCTTGAAATAGCCAGGGACTATTATTTTGAAATGTCTATGCTTTACTACGTCTGACTGCTTGTTAAAAAAGATGAAAAAAATATCGGAACCAAAACATAAATAATAACCAAAATAAAAGTGTTTATGCATAATGAGGCCGTCACACTTTTGCTACTGTGAAGGAGCGAGGAACGAGGAGACACGGATGAAACATAAACGACAGTCTTTAATAATCCAACATGGGAAACACGGAGCAAACGGGAACACACGTAGCACATGGAAAGACGTATAATACCGGACGCTAGACACAGGAAAACACTAGGCTTAGGTAAACAGAACTAAACGAGGTAATATGGGGAGGGAAAAGACAACAAAACAGGTCCATAATCCTGACAGAGGTACATTTAATCATAAACATGCCTAAATTATACAGGGACTCTTACTTTTAAATATCTATACTTTATTACTTTCAGTTGCTCATTCAAAAATATCAAACAAATACGGGAACCAAAATACCAATAATAACACCAAAAAAAAAAAAGTGCTGTCAAACGATTAATTGCATCCTAAATATGCTCTATTTTATAGAGGGCAAAATATATATTTTTAAAAGCTTTAAAATAAATCATATTTTTCATATTTTTAGTTTCAAAAACATACAAAAAATATATTGGTAAATATATATGTGAGTAAATTTATAATATTTTAGTAAATTTGTTAGGCCAATTTTTTGTATATTTTAAAATATATTTACAAATATTTTTGAATATATATATATATATATATTTGGCATGTGTGACCCTGTACCACAAAACCAGTCATAAGGGTCATTTTTTTAAAATTGACATTTATGCATCATCTGAAAACTGAATAAATAAGCGTTCCATTGATGTATGGTTTATGATAGGACAATATTTGGCCGAGATACAACTATTTGAAAATCTGGAATAAAAAAAATCTAAATATTGAGAAAATCATCTTTAAAGTTGTTCAAATGAAGTTCTTAGCAATGCATATTACTAATCAAAAATTAAGTTTTGATATATTTACAGTAGGAAATTTACAAAATATCTTCATGGAACATGATCTTTACTTAATATCCTAATGATTTTTGGCATAAAAGAAAAATGTATAATTTTGAGCCATACAATGTATTGTTGGCTATTGCTACAAATATACCCCACATGTTTTTTGAAACACAGTTTCAAAAATATCCCAAAAAATTATTGGTATATATATATATATACATTTGCCATATGGGTAAAACCTCTTAAAATTATAACTGAGACTTTTGTTATACTATTTAAGACTTGTTATGGCCTTAAATTCAATCACATCACATGTAAGATTTTTTTAAGACTTTTTATTTTGCGTGTGAAATCCACACCTGTTTTCCCAGCATGCACACATGCGTCTCTGTCGGGGTAGCTGTACGTCTGGATGCAGGAGTGTTTGGATCCACACACACACTGTCCATCCACACGCTCACAGCCGCTCACTAGCGGGCAGCGCTCGTCTGCATCCGTCGCATCGGGTACCGCTGCGGAGAAGAAGACAGCGTTACCATGGTAACCCAGACTCGTCTCTCAGGCTCGTTTCATCTGCGTCTCGGCAGTCGCTGAGATTTGTTTGCTTTCGTTCCACAGAATGGCACCAAACAGAGACGCTTAAACAATGTCACGCCTGGAAAGATCTCTGTAATGTCTCAGTTGTTTCAGAAAGCAATGACTTTCACCTGTTGTTCTCAGATTTTCCTTCATTAAAAAAGCCTCACAAGTGTCTCCTCTAATGTAGGTCAAGTATTCAATCATCACTATTATTATTATTGCTCAGAGTTATATATATATATATATATATATATATAATAAAAACATAAAAAATGAAAATGAGAAATGTGGAAAATAACTTAAATAAAATAACTTGAAGTACTAAAATAACTAAAACTAAACTGAAATAAATAGAATAAAAAATAGAAATCATCTTAAAAAGCACATAAGTTTACTAAAACTTAAACTAAATTAAAATGAACACAAAAATAAAAATAAAAGCTAATTCAAAATATTAAAATATACTATAATAGTACAGAATGAATACTAAAATAACACTGCTAAGTAGTAAATGTAATGTTATTTTAGTATCACTGGTATACTGTAGTTTCTGTCAATATTTTGAATTAGATTTTCTGTTTTTACTTTATTTTTAGTTAAATTATAAGTCATTTTATTGTGTTTTTGTCATTTATTTAAATATTTATTTATTGGTTTTAGTTTATTTAGTTGTAGTTATTTTAGAACTTCGAGTTAAACTAAATGAAAATGAGAATTTTTCCTTGCCAACAAGCAAAAAAATATATTTAAGGTGAAGTACTAAAATGGCTAACACTAAACTAAAAGTCCTGAGGAGAAATAAAAATAATAATTAATTTAATAATAAATTAAAGCTAAATTGATTTTTTTTTTTTTAAAGCACCAAAATATTACTAAAACTTAAATTTAAATTAAATTGAAAACAAATATTAATAAATTTAATATAAAACAAAATTAATTAATATGAATAAATACTATAATTGTGTATAAATAATACTAAAATAACACTACTAAACTCAGCAACAGTGTTATTTTAGTATCACTGTTATTCTATTATATTTTTGTTAATATTTTGATTTAGACTTTATTTTTTAAAGTGACACCTTAATTTTAGTTTTAGTTATTTTATTGTGCGTTTTAGTCATTTTTATTATTTTTTTTTTTTTTAAATGTCTATATAGCTTTTTTGTTTTAGTTAATCTAGTTTTAGTTATTTAAGTTAAACTAAATGAAAAAGAAAAAGTTTATTTTATTTTTTCCCCCTTTTTTTACATTTGTTTAAAAAAAATCTATATTTTATTGTATTTTTCAAGTTTCAAGAAACATATTTTTAATGGTTTTAATTTTACTTTTAGTTAATGATAATAAACCTGCATAGTACTGTAAACTAATCTGACAATAAATACTGACAATAAAAGCACAGTGAGAAAAAATCAGACTGAGAACATCTGAGACAAAACTGACACTTGACTGAAACATAAAGGAGCTCTGAAAGAGCAACCTCTGAGTAATAGTATTGTCCTACACTAGAAACAGCTCCAGTCTTTCTAACTTCCACTGCCTCAGGTTTCTCGTGAGCTCTCCTGGAGTCTCACATGCATCTCTGTGTTTTTCCTCTGCCATGTGTGTTAAATAAGTCTAGAGTATCCACGTCAGACGCAGACCCCCTCGGGCTCCCGCAGGTTCTGGCTGAAGACCCCCCAGCCCGCCGCATGTGAATAAACAAAGACAAAGCGGCTTCGGCGGCTCCTACGGTCCCCCATGATGCTCTCCTGGGGCTTGGCTCACAAACGCTCCCCAAACAAAGCAGAAGAAAACTGCTCAGGAGACGCAACAGAGATGTGTTTCTACTCTAAAAGTCCTGAGGAGAAATAAAATCAGACCTAAAGTAAGAGTAGATGTGCTTTTTAGCTCAACTCTCCCACTGATCTCATTTTTGTCTAGGAGAACAATTGAGGTATAATGTTTTTTTCTGGTATTTCGCAATACCGTGTTTTTGGACATTACCATGGCAATACTATAGTATTTTGGGGGAATACCATGTTTATGGAGATGTACCATGGCAATACTATAGTATTTTGGACAAGGTACTATGGCAATACCATGTTTTTGGACATGTATTATGGTAATACTGTAGTACTTTGGGGGCTTTACAATGCTTTTGGACAGGTGCCATGGCAATACTATAGTATTTGGAGGGCAATACCATGTTTTTAGACATTACCACGGCAAAACTATAGTATTTTTGGAAAATACCATGTTTTTGGGCCTATTTCATGATAATTCTATAGTATTTTGGGGGCAATAACATGTCTTTGGACATGCACCATGGTAAAACTACAGAATTTTTGGGCAATACCCTGTTTTTTGTACATGCACCATGGAAATACTACAGTATTTTTGGGCAATACCATGTTTTTTGTACATGCACCATGGAAATACTACAGTATTTTTGGGCAATACCATGTATTTGGATGTGTACCATGGAAATACTACAGTATTTTAGGGGCAATACCATGTTTTTTGTACATGCACCATGGAAATACTACAGTATTTTGGGGGCAATACCATGTTTTTGGACATGCACCATGGTAAAACTACAGTATTTTTGGGCAATTCCATGGTTTTTGTACATGCACCATTGAAATACTACAGTATTTTTGGGCAATACCATGTTTTTTGTACATGCACCATGGCAATACTATAGTATTTTGGACTATTCCATGTTTTTGGACATGTACAATGGCAATACTATAGTATTTGGAGGGCAATACCATGTTTTTAGACATTACCACGTCAAAACTATGGTATTTTTGGAAAATACCATGTTTTTGGGCCTGTTCCATGATAATTATATAGAATTTTTGGGCAATACCATGTTTTTTGTACATGCACCATGGAAATACTACAGTATTTTGGGGGCAATACCATGTTTTTGGACATGCACCATGGTAAAACTACAGTATTTTTGGAAAATACCATGTTTTTGGGCCTGTTCCATGATAATTCTATAGTATTTTTGGGCAATACCATGTTTTTTGTACATGCACCATGGAAATACTACAGTATTTTTGGGCAATACCATGT